AAAAAGAAAAGTAATCTGAAGTCAGACGTCTGTTCTTTTGTTTGCCTGCTCACGTGGTTTGACGCCCTGAACAGCAGCTCGGTCTGACAAGCGCAAAACGGCCAGAAAAAGTTGATTACAGCCATTCACAGATTCGCAGGTTTGTTCAAGTGTCTTTTCAAAGACTACATAAATAAATATCCAAAAATCTACCATCGAGATCAGTTGTTGGTCTTGTTTTGATTGCTGATACTTAATTAGCGCTTACCACAGTTATGTGAAGCTTCTTAAAAACGTCAATTTATGGAGAGAAAACCCAATACAGCATAAAACACATGATTTGCCAGCTCACAACTAGAGCTGAATGAGCCCACTACGCAGATGCAATCAGAGCCTCTTGCACAGCCCACAATCAGCAAGAATAGAGCCCATCAACCAAGCTGCATGCATTGTAAATGCACAGTCAGTCCTTCACGAGTCTCACCTTAGACAGCTCTCCCAGGTCAGGTCTCTCCCACCCCAGTTTATCAAGGACGCAGCTGTCGAAAGCTTGTTGCTTTTTACGGCAGTGGCGCAGCTCTGCCAAGTTTGTATAATCCACACAGGTCCAGTACTCTGTGAAGGACTCGGCACAGTTCCCCTTGATTTGCCTGAAAGGCACAGAAGGACATATGAATCAGAATCAAATATGCAAGAGTAAGAACACGGTAGTCGGGAATATGTAGTAGTCATGCATGAGCTGGAACTCTCACCCTTAAGAGAATAGAAGAATAGAATAGAAAACTACTTTATTTATCCCAGGCCTGGGAATTTACTGAATTAAAATGCTGAGAAGATATTTTAAAAGCTAAGATTCCGGGTATGAAAATGGAGAAATTATTAAAGGCATATATGACATAGGAGTTAAAGATTTATAGATAAACTTGTATTTTTATCTGCCAGACATGTTCAGATCTAAAATTCGGACATCAAATGATTTAAACAACTTCCACTAACTCATCACTACTTGACTTATGACTTGTCAGTTTCCACTCGTTGATCCCATTTGATCGCTATGTGCAGGTTTCCATAACAAGAACTCTGTGAAAGTACCTAAAAGTGGCTGGCAGTTGCCAGAAACACCAGAGAATCAAACCAGGCCCCTGGCGCAATTACAATTTTTCTCAAATCTGTCCTCATTATAATAATTGCAGGTACTTCTCTAGAGGTCATGTGTTTTTTTTTTCGTGTTTTTTTTTTTTTTTCAACCAAAAGCACAACCTGTTTGATACACACTCACAAAAGCACCATAGTTACCGAAGGCATCGGCACAAAGCTCCGTCTAAAACGGTCAGTAAACACAGACACAGCAGTTAAGAGTGAAAAATGCCAGACCACTTTGTTGAAGTTCTAGAGACACAATAGGCGCAATTTAATCATGTTCTAAAACTAATGTCATTAGTTTTTCTCCCCACGAAAGAAAAAAATAATCACACAAATGACATAATATTGCTTTGTAGACCATATTTGGCTAGCTTTAGTTGATTTGGAAAAGAGGATGAATCTCTATCAGTAACCATAAAAACTGTAATAGAGTTTTATGAAATAAAAATGCATGTATCCCCTTAACATCCACCTTTTTTTTTTTAAACTTAAGACTTAAAACAGACTTGAAAACATTTTATCTATTGAAAACTTACAGTAAAAACAATATGTGATTTAACAAAAATGCGCCCTCACATACGACAGAAAAGGTACGAAGCTATAGTTCTACTGCGTCCACGCTGCTGTTACAAAGTGAGGAGCTACTACTGCTTCTGATGCTGTCGTCTCTTTAGCGTCAGTATTCTAAAATGATTTACGTTGTTTGAATGTGAGGATTTGTGCTTTCAAACAATGACTCAGACTGTGTTCAAAAGACAGTGGCAGTATGTTCATGTGGCTGCGGTGAGTGTTAACAGGTTAAAGCAAAGTAAAAACAAGAAATCAAATTAAAAAGCTTTGCAGCAATAAATATTCACTCAATAAGACAAATACAAATGATTCAAATACATAAACAACTGTATGATTAATACTCTGACAAATTATGTTTACACGACGGAAAATAACTCATCTGGGAAATTTTGCCTTCATAAAAGTCAAGTTTGGTGTAAACACATCATAAAAGTGCAAGATGATCTTCACCATAACGCCCGACAGAAGGTTGGTCCGACCCACAGGCTGCCGCACAAATTACACAAATTCTCTTTACTACAATAAAAACTGGAATATGACAACAACACATGTATGTTTTCACCCTGAATTTCTTAAATATCACGTCGGCAATCAGTCTGTAGACATCTCATGCAACTAGAAAGTCTCACCAGTTACGCTTCAGAGCATTCAGAAAAGGCACCGTACGGAAATCAATGGAGGACAACTGTGTTAGAAACATCTACCCTCAGTTTGGACCATCAAGTTATCATGAACTTCATGCTACTTTTTTATGTAAAATCTATTTTCCTACAAGCTACACAAACACTTAATTGTCACTACCTTTTTCTATTTTACTCTTGCATCACTAGTTTTAAATTCTACTTGGTCCAGAGGTCTTCTCAGTTATTTTAACTGGCATCTACATCAACCTCTACCAAAAGACTACAAAAGCTTATGACCAGGACAAGACACGGAATAGGAAACTTCCCAACTCCGAAATCATCTTTGTAAACTTAATAACTTTAACCTCTGGAAGAACAACTGTCCACCAGCAGTATTTGCAACCTCAGAGCATATTTTGGTCTATCATTGAGTAAGTAATGCAGAACCTCTTGTCCGCAGACCTCTGCTGACCACCATTTCACATAGACTATTAAACTCTGCACTCTCTGTTGGCTCCAGAGTTCAGCCACATCTTCCATCACTCTCTGACCACAAGCACGCTGCTCAGTTTAGCAGATGACAACGCTGTAGCAGCCTTCAGTTCTAAAAATGGAATTATTCTGCCTTTTGATATTTTCCATTAAATGCTATCAGATTTTTTTGTGAAGCCAAGGCAAAGGAGAAAGCAAATGGCTTTACCACGCCAAACTGTTTAATTACAGGAACCGAGGACCTGAAGCATACATGATTAACTTAACACATCACTCCATTCCTGCTTACATACATTTCTAGTATATTTATGTATAGTTTCACATTTTTAAACTCAATCTTTTTACAATCATGATGCACTAACTTTTATAGACAAAGGTGTGAGAAAATTGTGACCGTTTGTACCAGGAGTGTTTGGCACCAAACATGTACAAAACCCAGAATGTGAGCTACCTGAAGAAGTTGACTGCACACTCATTGACTTTCCTCCCTTCTTCTAGACACTTCCTGGGGTCCTTCTCCTCCCAGCGGCAGAGCATGAACTCCTTGTTGGGTTTGTCACATTGGGAGCCATAATGGTGGGCAGCAGCCTTCAGCACTGCAGAGGACACATTTACCTGGACAGAAGAGGAGACAAGAAGAAGGAAGACAATTATACTGGGCAAAAAAAAAACATAACATATCTGATACATTCATTGTCTGAAGAACCCAGTTAATGTTTCCGTAGACACCCGTAGACACTGAATCAGTATTTGTTGTGAAGCATAACTGGGAGCACCTGGACCTGGTTGTTCTAACTGCTAAGTTGATCTTAGCTAAGAAAAATCTTCAGAGTTGATTTATTGTCACTTGCACTAAACAAATATAAGCCAGGTCTAAACCTGGTCTGAGCTACAGACGAGTTGTAAGCTCTGTTGGTGCTACCGGCTCCTTGAAACTACAATTCTAGCTCTCACAGTGTAAAGTGCACATTCTAACATGCCATAGGTGTCTTATTCAATCCACACACAAGTTGTGGCTTTTTCACTTGACATGTTGTACAATAGCAACAGTGGAAACTGTTTATGAGGCAGCTATGAAGTCTGAGCATTGCTTTTGGAGGACAACCCTTTTTTTCCCTCCTCTCCTGCTGGGGTCTTATCAAGTGCATTGATCCTGATCTGTCAATAGTCCCTTTACTACATAAATAATGACATATTTTTCAAAATGTGTTCTATATTAAGAAAAAATAACCATACTCTCACACACAGAAATCCATATTGACCATTTTTATTTGCTAAAGTTCACAATTTTATTTTCTTTCTTTAAAAGAACAGAAAAACAATTTGTGAGGTCCTGGAAACATCACAGCTACCTTCACATAAGTTTGACAAAAGCAGGCTAAAGATTTTGGTGGGGATGTTAATGCAAAATACATTGCAATATAATGCTTAAAAGCAAACTAGTAAATTCAAAGGAAATCAGTCTCTGCATCTCGTTTCTTAGATCCTCCATGTCCCCTTTGTAGAGTTGGACACCGACAGGCTGCTGACAACTTTCACCTGACTTCCAAGGACAAATTCTGATTGCCAAATAACACTGCTAACGTAAGCCAGCCAGAGAACTGTTTGGAGACAGTCGTTATAGAGTTACTACCCTCAGATGACTAAAATTATGGCTTACTATGTACTGAGAAGAGTGTGATATAGAGATTATAGGACAAAGTTAATGCTAACGCCATGTAATGTAGTCAAGGTGGCTGTCATAATAACGGCAATACATTAACCAGCTTCTCGCTCACCCAGATAAATCCACTCGCATAAATATACACAGCATCTACCTACATCATGCAACTAACTTTCACCATCATAAAGGCAGGTAACGCAAGCTGTAACAGTTGACAGCTACTGATGCATACAATAGTTAGCCGGTTAGCTTGCTAGTTAGCTAGCTGTCCTGTCTTGGTATGTTTCTCATTCAAGCTAAACAAAAACCGCGGCTCACCTCGTCCACCTTCAGCTCCTCCAGCGTGGGTATTTCCGGACACCCGGGCATGGCTGCGTGCTCGTACGATAAAACAAAAGCAGAAAATCAAACACCGCTGGTGAAAAACATTCAAGGTCCTCGTCGGGCTCCAGGACGAGCGACGAGGCCGCGAAGAAGGTCAGTTTACTGCGCCTGCTGCTGCCAGCCGGGGGTCGCGTTCTGATGACGCAAAGGAGCGAGCGACTCGAATCGCATGCGCACAAAGCGAACTATGAAAAAGAAAAAGAGAAAACTCATGTTGGATTTTAAAAAAAAAATGTTATGTACGACTTTGCATGCATGATATTTTATTTATAAAGTATTTTAGTTAAGAAATTGTGACAGACTTTTCATACGGAACAATTCGAGCTGCTTTGTTGCCATAGTAACGGCGGAGTAAAGCCGCTGTGTTGTCTTGCTCCGTCGGTAGTGAATGTATGGTTTGTATGTTTATTTCTTTTACAAAAGACGAAAGCGCCCCAGCAAACCAGCACTTTCATGGAGTTCATAGGAAGCAGTTACAGAGGAGATACCAAAAATGGCAGGTAAATGAAGTATACTTTAACATGGGTTTGAACTTAGAAGTTTAAACCCTTAAAACAGGAGTTCTGGGCGTCGTGTGCCTCCGGAAAATTTATATCAGACACCTAATTTCCTGCATTGTAGTGAGTCCTAATACACCAGTTGTATACATTTTTTATTATTGTTATTATGTTAAAGAAAACAACAAAATTCAGGCATTGGGGGGAATTAAAAATATGATGGAATATAATGCAGTGAGGCTCTCAGATATCCTGTTTTGCTTTCAAATATTTATTTATTTCATAACCTCTTAAAATGTGCACGTGGCACATGCCAATGATAAATTAATTTGTAAGGCAAGATGTGATAAACTGCATTGATCCTCACTGGGGAAATTTACATTACATTAATTAATTTACAAACACCTGGAGTTTAACGCCTTATGTGTGTTTCAGCAAGATTTCTGCTCATGTTCTGTTAGCTATGTATTTAAGAAAAAAGACCAGCCCGTGTCAGGGCATTTCTTGAACTATTATAGAAGTTTCTCAAAATAAATGTCCTTTACCCTGGGGGGTATGTATCCCCTTGGTCCTCCATGAAATCGACACGTATGTATATTTGTACCCACACCACTAATGGAACCTAATTAATAGAATCACAGAGTGGTTTATAGTGAGCTAACCAACTGAACAGCAAAAAAAAAAAAAGAAAAAAGTTGACAAAGTACTATGTGGCCATGTCTTCTCTCCTTTAGAATGGAAGGACAAGGAGAGTACACCTTCCCCACTGGCACTAAATATGTAGGAGAGACAAGAGATGGGATGTTCCATGGCAAAGGAGTGCTGCACTTTTCAACTGGAAGTAAATATGAAGCCATCTGGGAAAACGGTATCGCCAAACAGGTGAGGAGCTGTGTGTTTCTGTGTCTGTATGTGCGTCCTTGCATGCATGTCAGATTGTATGCAGCCATGTGCATGCCTCTGTGTGTTTCTCATTGGTTATAGTTGATATTACATCTGGTCCCTTTTAGCAATCACTCACCGTTATTGTCGTAGTAATTAGGTTTCTCTCTTCTTTTTTTTTTCCTGTTGAAGATTTAGTCTCTTCTGCTCTGATGCAACATTTCATGGGCTTTGCCACAATGGCAATCTCTCCAATTATCATCATCACTGCAGATGTGGTTCATTTGAAATGATAGCAGCTCTGAACCATGACTAACCTTGGCCCAGACTATCCTGCACCTGCATTCTATGCCAGCTCAAACAAATCTACATCCATTCAAACCCAGACATATAGCCATCCAATAAACGCAGAAATCCAAACTCTGGAAATGATATCTAGTAGCGCACAGCTCATTCTGCAACTTTTACCTCCTCCTTCAATCATGCTTCTCCACCCATGGGTTGAGAATCTCCGTTTTCATATTCGTCTGTTTTGTATTTTGTCGGATTTTTGTGTTTTAAAATAATACAAAGGTTTGTAGCTTTCTGTGATGTTTTTTATTATTAATATTATTGCATCTGAAATAATTACCAAACATTTCAAGATATTGTGAGCCTAAAAGAGTGAGTTTCATTGTGTACAATAATGAACAAGATAACCTGAAATTTAAATATTTTTTTAATTAAAATGTTGTCATTTGAGTATAATGATCTCTGCAAGTTTCATACTTAAATGTTAACTAAATGTGTTAAAAAGTAAGAGGAACATTACGATCACAGCATAAAATGCAAACCTGGTGCAGGTTAAAGGAAATTAGTCTACACCAGGGGTGTCGACATCCGGTCCTCGAGGGCCGCAATCCTGCATGTTTTAGATGTGTCCTTCTTCCAACACACCTGATTCAAATGATCAGGATCGTTATCAGACTTCTGCAGAGCTTGATGATGAGCTGATCATTTGAATCAGGTGTGTTGGAAGAGGGAAACATCTAAAACATGCAGGATTGCGGCCCTCGAGGACCGCAGTTCGACACCCCTGGTCTACACCATTAAGGGAAATCATTTTTATTTGTTACACCTGTGCGTCTCCTGCAGTGACAGGTCTAAATAATGTGGAAAAGGTCTTTCAAATAAAACTAATCTAAATCTAGCACATCAGCTGATTTCACAGCTCCACAGTCTTCTCTTCTCTTCTCTTCTCTTCTCTTCTCTTCTCTTCTCTTCTCTTCTCTTCTCTGTAAAGTCTGAATTAATGTCATTTTTGGTGACTCCAAAGTGTTCATTTAAAACAGAATATTACTGATATGAGTCCAGTGCGCAAAATTACTAAACATCGATTCCTCTTTTGTAAAACCCATTTTCATTCTCAACAATTCCTCAAACACACACACACACAAACACACACACTTACAGTGTTTCAGTTCATCCAAAATACCAAAACGACATGTTTTTCTGCTTTCCTCCAGCGATACATATCTGTGCAGACAGTTTTGGTTTTATCTGCTGAGGTTTGGAGATATCCATCTCTTGTAGAGTTCCTCCTCAACCCAGAGACAATGGAGGGAAATTTAAATTCTTTCGTGGGGCTGAAAGCACTGAAAACTGACATTTGAAAACCTCAACAGCAACTTATCTCGCCAGAAACCACGTCTGGGGTATGCAGGATAACCCCCAGACCTCACATTCGATAGTTTTTGCTGGAACTACTTTCTATCAAAGGAATCCTCCCCATGAAACCTGTCAACAGTGAGTTTGTGCATTATCTTGAGCAACAGGGGCATTGTTTCTGCTCCGGGGGTTTTGTTATTTTTTCAAAGTGCTGTGAGGAGCACAAATGAAATTGTGTACTAGTTGTGCAGGAGTGGCAGCGGAGGCAGACATCCCAAATTACTGGCAGAAAAAAAAAATTGAAGCTACATGTCAAAACATCACTAGGATTGCTCTGTCTTTAGAATGAACTGATTTAGAATCATTCACTGTGTTTCTCATTGTGCTTCCTCCCAAGGGCTCATTTACATTTGCTGATGGCCTGCAGTATGAGGAGAAGGACTGGGACTACTGCAACGGTTACGACAGGCGCTTCTACAGCGAGAGGTGCAACGGGCTCAGACCGGCAGGTTGGAACTCATTTATTTGCTCCTTTGGTCACATGACAGCTTCTACTTAATGCCACTCCTTCACAAACATACACACAATTTAGCCTAAAGCCTTGTAATAAAACACACTTAATACAATTAGATCAGGAGAATGTCGTAGTAAGAGGAGGAACACTAAGAGGCATGAACTTGATATGCACACTGTTGACAAACTAAATAAATAAAAGCTTTCTTGTGAGTTCTTAAATACTTATTTCCTTGTTGTTGGACTGAGTGCCTTTCTCACAAGGCAGGATAACTTAGTTAACTGTGTGAGTTTAATCTGAAGAGCTGTTTTCATTTCAGTCCTTGTTTCAGATTTGAGTCGCTCCCAAGTTTTACCAAGCAAAGTTTGCAGGTAGCCGTGTAACATCGCTTCATGAATCACTCTACGTCCATCACTGGCCCTTACAAATAGTTAGTCGAGGCACAAAGCATCAGGATGGGCTGAGATTTGAACCAAGAATCTCTTCGGTGTGCAACAGCAGTAACCACTGAGTCCTTCTTCAAGTTAGTACTAATGGTGTTAAAAGCTGAAAAAGAGAATAAGAAAGTCATTCAGTGTAAATCAACTGTTCTTTTCCTACAGGAGAATCTCAGATGACTGATGTTCATCCTCCACGAGTCATTCCTGATGGATGTTACGACTGTGCAGACGGTTTCTATGACCCTACTACCAGAGTCGTCACTTCCTATGCTGGCAGATTCCTCAGGAATGCAGGTAAGATTGAAAATATGCTGTTTAAATCACTTCTTAAGCCCTGAAATACCAAATATACTGCAACTGGCCTGTAGGAAATATGTCTTCATTGAATACAATTTTACACAAAATAATAGAAACCTTTCAATGTGGATATAGTTTGTGATCTATACTTGAGAGCATGAGGGGAATAAAAGCAGGTATTACCAACTGTACTCCACATCTCAACCTCAAAACCCTACTTTATTCACTGTTTGCATCCCTTTACTTTGCACACATTTTTTTCCATCAACCTAATGCCAAATTGGCTCCATCTGAGCGTTGAGTAATATCCAGGCATCGTAGCCTGTTGTGCCAAGGTAAATCACAAAGATGAAAGTCGAGAGCAAACACAAATTTCCATTTCAAATTATGTACACAGATTCTTATGTCCAGTGAAGCACCTTTCAGTGATGGATTGCTGTGTGGTAAATGTATTAAATTAGAAACTGAATAAAGCAGCGCCATTAGTTTCTATAATTGACCATGACTAGAAACAATGTTAATTCCAGCAATCACGTTGCTATTGATGTAATCTCTGTTTTGAAGCTGCAACACGCAGCTGCTTTAGTGTGTCTACAAAGAATGTGAATTTTGCACCTCATGTTTTTGGTGGAGTTCCTGAGCGTAGACTCCTTATGTCATGTCGTTCCAAGACGTAAACATAAAAGAGACAGAGGTTGAAAATGCTGAATTATGTAAGGAGAGAAATGTAGATGGTAGGTCTGTGTAAATCTGTGTCCACTTTTCAACAACTTGACTTTTCTGCAAACAGTCTGACTTCAATCAGAAAAGAAACAAATGAAAGAAGAACTTAAAGATTAGTTAAAAGGGGTGATTGTTGCATGAGCTGTAGAGGAATATCTCCAGATGGAGTCTAAATACTGGTGGTGGATGAGCAGTGATGAAAAATGATGTTGAAGATGTGGATGGGTGTGATGTGGAGTAGGATTGCTGATGAGCTCAGTGGAAGGATAAGTGGTCCTGATGAAAACGGGAGGTGGAGGAGGGTTGCATTGATCTGACATGGGAATGGCAGCTGGTAGCAGATGGAGGAAGGTACAGCTGACTTCAGAATGACTGGGTCAGAGACAGATTTTTTAATAGAGGGAGGAAGGCCCTCAGAGAATGTAAATAAATAGCATTAGATAGTATTCCTGATTGAATTTTGGCTTGAAGCTTTACTGAAGCTACTTTCAAGCATGGACCCTTTTTCTTTGCCCGTTTTTACAAACTTTAATTCTAAATGCATACAGCAGGTCTACGAGGAAAGGTTTTGATAACAATGAACCCACAGAGTGATGTTAAATGGATTATCCCTGTATTTTCTGATGGGAGATTACTGCTGCATGTCATACGATAAGCGCGCCTCTATAGGCAAAACCAGTCATTTCAAAAGTTTTTTTTTTTTTTCCTTTTGTTATTTGTCAAGAGTGGAAAATTGAAGACACATTTTTCCACTGAGTGAGTGCCCAGTCTGGAGCTCCTGATTTAAAGTGAATGCAGTCTGTCAGGTGTCCAGACAGCAATTCCCAAACTCTGACATCCTCTGCTCATCATGTCTCCCAGCACGTTTTAGCATCACTACACAATGTTAGACAGTTGGATAATGTTAGACGAGGGATGGCAATACTGAAGTGTTCTCAGCAGTGGTTCGAAGAAGTACTCTGAATTTTATAGCTGTGTAAAGTAATAATACCACAGTGTGGAAATACTCAAAGAAAAGTCTTGGAATTTGACATTTTTACTGATCAGAATATACCTAAAGTGTTCACTTTGCAAAATGTTCCATTTCAGAATAATAGTATGTTATTTGATTATAATTGTCGATGCAATAAAGTGTTAAATAATGGGCTTCCTGCTGCCCAAAACCATGGATGCAAATCTGAAGAAGCAGCAGGAGTTCATGCTCCACAGCTCACGGCTGCAGGTGAGTGAAGGTTCCTCCAGAATCCTATGAAAAAAAACTTCACTTAACATGGTTAATACATCACCATGAAGCTGCCCACGTTGGTCACTTACAGTAAAACGTGCACATCAGGTTTAGTAGATCTAAAAATGTCTTCATTTGTGGTCATTTCAAGAGCATGTATGTCAACGTTGGATGAAGCCAGGTTCAAAGTTGTTGGGCCAAAGGTTTTTGCAGAGGCAATATCTGTGTTTTAAAGCTCAATAAACCAGCTAACTTCTGCACGCAACCAGAAAAACTACATTTTGGGGCCTTTATTAAAGAATACAATGTTCTAAAAATCATGCTGTTTATGAAAATGCACAAACCCTTCTTTAAATACCTTTAGGATAGAAATACTGGAGCGATGGTTAGCACTGTTGCCTCGCAGCTAGAAGGTCACCAGTTCGCGTCTCAGTGAGGACATCCGGGATCTTTCTGTGTGGAGTTTGCATGTTCTCCCCGTGCAGTGTGGGTTCTCTCCGGGTTCTCCGGCTTCCTCCCACAAGGTCCAAAAGCATGTTAAGGTTAATTGGCGATTCTAAATTGTCCGTAGTTGTGCATGTGAGTGTGCTTGGTTGTCTGTCTCTAAGTGTAGCCCTGTGATAGACTGGTGACCTGTCCAGGTGAACCTGCCTTCACCCTGAGTCAGCTGGGATAGACTCTAGCCCCCCGCGACCCTTGTGAGGATTAAGCAGTGTATAGATAATGGATGGATGGATAGTCTGAATATGCAAAGTAACTACTAACTAAAGTTATCAATAAATGTAGTGATGTAGTAAGAACAATATTTGTCTGGATTCTAGTGGAGTCGAAGTATAAAGTAGTAGGAAGTGGAAATATGCTAGAAAAGCACAAGTGACTCATATTTTACTTATATATAGTACTGGAGTAAATGTACTTAGTGACTTTACTCCACAGGGAATAAGGTTGCCTGTTTGTCGGTCCACCATTTTGTTCCAGGCGGAAATATCTCAACAACTGCTGAACGAACTGCCATGAAAATGTATACAAGCAGTCGTGGTCTCCAGTGGATGAAACCCTCTGACCTTAGTGAACCTCTGACTTATTCAGAGCTAATATCTTGAATGTCTTGTAGAGTCTGTAGTCTTGTAATCTTCTAAGTGGACATGAACTGCACAGCATCTGAACAAACTATTGAGATGTAAAATCTTGCAGAACACTTGAAATGTTGGTTTCAATATTAGAAACACACAAAGCATTCAGAACAGACTTTTCCGGTATTCTTTCACTGTTAAATAAGACAAAGTCCAGCCTCAGCAGCTGGAATCTCATCTAATGATTCCCAAATCTGTTTCAGTATATTATCTTTTTTTTTGTTTTTTTTTAACCTTACAAATGCAAACATGTGTCAAGATATGATTCCTGGCAGAAGTTAAGGTATGACTCACAAGCTCCCTAAGGTAGAAATGTATTTTAGGGCAGAATATTTGTATTCGGATGAGCTACTTGCAACATAATACAGATTAGTTCCACAAGCACGCAAAACTCATTTACATATGTGTAGAGACAGAAGACCCACATCCTCGCCAGATGTCATCGGCATGTGTAAGAAGACAAAAATATGTTTTGCGATCCTTTCCTTGATGTGAGTTGTTCATCATCATTATAGTTCTGGTATTGATCAGTGGAATGACGGAGGATAAGAGATATGAGGGAGGACAAGAAGAGGGGATAAGAAGGAAAGGCTTTTTTTTTTCTTTTCTTGCATTGAGATGAAAAAGAAGAGGAACTGAACACTTCCAACAATGCTCTGACTCTGTTTTCATTTAGATAAATATGGAGTAAAACAGGAACTGTTTAATTGATGAGGGCCTTTTATTTTGGCAGCGTCCATGTGCATGTGTGCGGAGGGAAGTGCTCTGTATGCGGCTGGTGGCTACATACACTATTTATGCCCGTGTGCTGTCGCTTTTGTCTTGGTGCACAATTCTTGAGAAGAATGCTCCTGTATCCTGTATGGATTTATTTTTCAACCCCGGGAGGTGAAGGCATATTTGTCAGAGTGGGTGTGAAGACTGAATTTATTGCCTCGCGCCTTCCGCCCAGGATGAGGGCCGCAAGGATGATGGGACACGGGGAAGACCCACCCTCCCAGCTGGGACGCTTGCTGCAACAAGAAAGAGGAAGGAGCTCCCCATGTAGCTGTGGACGAGGGGAAGACGGAGCCGGTGAAGACAAAGACTCATATTTACAAAAGCTGCAGAAAAGATGGGATTGTTTTAACCACAGATGACTTACATTACACCCCCTGGAACTGCATGTTGTTGCTAGGAAATATCAGGCTAAACTTGAATTACCGGCCAAAACGGACCTTGTGCAAAGTCCTGCCCTCCGTAGTTACTGTTGCTAACTTGGACAAACAGTTCGTCTTGGAGAATTGCCAAGTTGCAAAACAATAGGATCTGTTGCTAATATTCCCCAAGAGGTTATAGATTATTTTTGGATTTCTTGTCATGCACGCCTGCGTGTATGGAGGGGTTTTTTAAGAATGCTTGTGCGCGTTGTAGAAAATGCTGAATGACAGAGGAAATTGAAAGTGGTGTGAGTCGAGGCAAAACACCTCCAGAGGGTTCGAGAGTAAATTATGACATCCAAATACGCTGCCTGTTCACACTCATTCTCAACAGTTCTTTTATGTACACATCAACCACAACAATAGAGCCACCAATAGGCGAAGTGTTGATGAATTTATCACAATGCAATGTTCTGCTGGGAAACCTTGGCCAGCCACGTTGCAACAACTGCTCAAGGACGACTCGAGGAGCACAACCAAGAGTGTAAGGCATTGATCTGGCCTCCAGATTCCCCAGATCTCAAGTTAGAACCCATTCCAAATCCAAACTACAAACTTTGAGTATTCCCCTTCAAAGTAATCCCTGTGGAGTCTTTTTATAATATTTATTAATTTTTTTTGCGTTTTTGCCTTTATTTGATAGAGCAGTAGAGAAATGGACAGGAAAATGGAGAGAAGAATGGTGCAAGGACCTGCGGAAAAGGGCCATAAGCGGAA